TACTTTGCATGATGGGACAAGCTGACTTGATGTATCTAGTTTTCATCTTTATAATAATCATAGTGCATGGTTTTATCTCAAAATATAGTAGTTGATGAGCATTGGTAGTGCAGTAGTGTTAACTCAAAATTGACGAAAATCCATATCCATATAGGGTTAACTACCCCATTTCCGGCCTATTAAGCACAACCCACACTTAGTCTTTCTTAATCTTGCGTAGGAATGTTATTATTACTGATGGTTTCCAAATGTATTTACCTTTCCGTACGTAGTGTAAGATTTGATAAAGAGAAACCAATCGTTGAGATATTGTCAAAAGTCTAACACTGCTTCTTGACGCCAAACTCGGCCTACGGATTCTACACGCAGGCAAAAGAACGTAAGAATTCCATAAGAAACACTTATGAATTTTAGCCACAAGAAAACAGTATGAATTTCATTAATTTGCCTTATGAAAAATAATGTTGACATAAAAAAATAATAAATCGGAGGAGACTGGAACCGAACCACGGACGTTGAGATTACGGAGCTCGTGTGTTAACCACTCGTCTTTCAACGCTTAAGAAAATGTAATGGCTTAAGGCGTATAAGAGCTGCGTTATGTTAGACGAAATTCTTTCATAAGTAAATAATTATAAAATATCGTACCAAACGTATAGTTGATTCGTTTACATCGACTTCATTGATATGTTTAATGTTTCTCCGCGATATGATGGAAATATTGCCGAAATGAATCTACCCTATTGATCTTTAAAACGCCTTAAATTTTAGTCAAACGACGAAAAATGCTACAACAGTTTGAATTTTTCTTAACAATCAAAGAAATTTGATCGTTTCGGTTTAACATTTTTAACCAAAGATTTTTGTTATTTCTGTTCCAAAAGTACTTATATTTTAGTGTATTTGAAGCTTTTTTGAAAACCAGAATCTCTCCATCTTAAATAACAAGGTGATGTTATAAATTGACTATAAATATTCGTCTGTGTTTATGTGTATGTGTGTATTTTATCTAACTTCCACTGACTAGCAGTACTACTATATAAGAAATTTATCTGCAATGTCATATTTTACTTCATTCCGTTATTCAACTAGGAATTTTTAAATTATGTCACACGAGTAGTGAAATAAACAGTGATACAAAATTTGAACTATATACTTTTTTTTATCCGTAATAGATTTTAGAAAATTTCAAGCCGCTTCAAAGAGCAATATTAAGAAATGAGAAGAATAAATAAGCTAAATCGATTCATTGTGCTTCAAGAAATATCAGTTTTCAAAAAGGCAGTGAAATAAGAAGCGTTTGGCTAACATTATCTAAATTATTGCCAACTAAAATTATTATCAGTCAATTAAGCTTAAACCCATACTGATAAATCTTGTTAGTTGATGTACCAGTAGTCAAAATTTCAGATATTTGGATGCACTCCCTGAAAAGTTACTGTGTTATACTTTTATCCTGTACTGTATATGTCTTATTAAAAAAACAACCAACAAAATTTATCATAAAAAAAAGCAGACGTTACTGATTACTGTGAAAAATTTGTGTCAGACGGGTGTTCAATAAAAAATGAGAATTTTTTCAGTCATATAGCTAGTAAAAAAAAATTTTTTTTCAACGAATTCAGTATTTTTTTACTAAAAACATTATGTTTATTCTTCAAAAAAAACTTCAATGAATATTGGAGAAGGGGCCCTGGTCAGCCGTACGACGCAACTTAGTCGCGATGCTCTCACAAGAGCGCTGGACGGCGCTGAAATCATTCTCATTTTTTATTGAACACCCGTTAGTGTTTTATAAAGTTTATCTAGTTGATTTGGACTTAAGACTTCAAGGCTAACCTGATAATCGTGGCTTTTCGAGGCAACATCGAATCAAACGTGCAAAATGTTGACTGTTGATGCAATTGTGAGCTATTTTCTACATTGTGTATCAAAAAAGCCTTGTTGTGCCTGGTCTAGTTATCTCCAGAGTAGTAATTGGTATGCATTGATGACCATGTGAGCAAAAAATGAGTTGCCCGTTTTGTCTTGGTATTTCGCTAAGAATTTTCTAAAAACTGCATAACTATCTCGAGACATCGTTTGAGTGGATATTCCCTGGGATTGAGACTTGAAAAATAATAATATAAAAACGGGTTTTTCGATGAACTGACCAACATTTTAGAATATCTCATTTTCAGTAGTCTGTAGAATGTATACGTTTTTGGAAAAGATCGGCTCGGATGCCTTACTACGTTGTGTTGCTGATGTTTCATTTGACGGTGGAGGATTGTAATACCCCGTTCACATTACAGCCTATATCACGTAATATAGGCTGTCTTGCAATGAGCACTCATACATAGGATTTCCAGAGAAAACTAGATGTATGAGTGCTCATTGCAAGACAGCGTATATCACATGATATACACTGTAATGTGAACGGGGTATAAGATGTTTCGGTGCAGCAGAAAAAATACTTTTTACACTTTAATCGATACATTTTATTGTCTCCGAGAGGCATCCAGCCTGCTATGAGGAGGAACGAATAACTTAATAATGTATAGAAGATAAATTTCTTCCTTCCATACTAAAGCACTAACAAACAATTAATTTAATTAAAATTATTATTTCCAACTACAAAATGTAAACAATAGCACTATACAACGAAGTAAACACAAAGACACATTAGTCATTGTAGTGGTGTGGGATAGTGATGGCCTGTTTTTGTGGATCGCATCTGGTTGGAATGTTCAATGTTTTAAACGTAATTTTTGTTTGTTTTTAGTCTAGTGTTTAATTTTTTTTTATTTAGAATAAAAAGCCTCAAACGAGTAACTATAAATAAATAAATAAATAAATAAATAAGTACATAAATAAATCAATCAATAAACATTCTACACGCAAAACAAAACACACACATTTGTATTGAAAAATTTCCACTTATTACTTATCTACACACACACTTGAACATAATCTACTCAGGAATACACATGAAATGTATGTGTCATATGAAAAGTACATTTGTGGGCTTCGTAATCATGTGGTTATAGCATAGAGGTAACTCTAAGACCACTGGGCCCCGAAGAAAATCATTATTATTTTTGGCTCACTCAGTACCAGAACAACGGTCCCAAGCAGTCCCAAGCTATTTCACTCACCCCTGCATGTTCTGCATGAATCCACACACCCCTGATGTTATCTGTCAAACTTTCATAGCGAATCAAAACAAACATAGTGTAGTAATAGAATTTCAACTAGAATAGGGTACGTTAATCGTTTGCTTGGGACCAATAGGCTACTAAAGTGGTGAGCCAATTTAAAATCGTTAGTTTCGTATTGATTGTTGGTTATAGCATAGAGGTAACTCTAAGACTAGAAGGTCTCGAAATAACGTGCTCAACTTTTTGGCTCAGCTCTGGTACTCTCTTCGGTCCCAAGCTAAACGATTCACCCCTCGAAACATAGGAAAAACCAATAGCCCCTCATTTTATCTGTCAAACTTTCATAGCGAATCAAAACAAACATTGCGTAGTACTAGAATTTCGACTAGAATAGGCTACGTTAATCGTTTGCTTGGGACCAATAGGCTACTAAAGTGGTGAGCCAATTTAAAATCGTTAGTTTCGTATTGATTGTTGGTTATAGCGTCACCCGTCGTTCAGGTCGAAGGCGATATCAATAAATTGTCTTTTTTTTTTGTTAGTGTGGGTCAATTTTACAAATCGCTGTTCCCTACTTCTATGTTCTATTTGGTCCCTAAAAACTATGTGAAATTGGAAATGCTAGAAAATGTTAAAGGAAGTATGGAAAACGGCTAAACACATTTATTTGCTTGTAAAAAAAATCACGCATTGCCTGAAATTCATATTGGGAAAACAAAGCAGAAAAACTTTGTTGAAGTTATTACCATTTATTCTGTACAAAAAGTTATTACCATTTTGTACAAAAAGTTATTACCATTTATTGGTTTAATCTTCCGTGTATACCTCCTAACTGACGTATTGACGCATAGATATCATTTTTTGATCTTATTGCAAACACTCATGTGTAAAACAAACAATACCAACTTGTAGCTTAACGTAAATAAACTATACGAACTTGCAGAGGAATCATTCTCCATACCTGATTGTGTTGCTAGTTTGCGAGGACGAGTTTATATGTGTGAAAAATCGGCGTATAGGTAATAAATAAAAAAAAAATATTAGGAGTGATTCAAGACTAGGGCGCATTAGGTTTTGTGAACAATGACTTATGTTCACAAAACCTTATGCGCCCTAATCTAGAATTTTTATTAATTAGCTATACACACTACGAGAAAGTCACATATATTTCAGTGCACTAAAACCGAACATGCAAGCGGCTCATATAATATGAAAATAAGTTGAATGAAACGAGAAATTCAATTCAATCAAAGCCACTTTTTGCAAGTTACAATAAGTTTCGGTTCCGGAATATTTAATTTTACATGACATATTTATTTATGTTCTATGGATAACGTCTAGTATAAAAATAGTTATTTCTAAGTGTAGTCTCTCTAAGTATGGCGCGCCTAAATCTTTCTGGAGGCGGCAAGTTCCGTTCCCAGCTCGCTCTTGGATTTGATCGAGTTGTAATTTTATGTTCGACTTTTCTAGGCAAAGTCTCCTTAATAAAGATAAATATAAAAAAGGCTTTTCTAGGCTTGATGCAAAAATGCTACGCACAACAAAAAATAACATTAAAATGGTAATGGAAATGGAAATTTGCACCTGGCCTCACAACTTGGTGTTCTTTGAGCACCTTCCTGTTTATGAATTGAGAGCTAAATAAACCGGAGGTTTCCATGTTTGTTGTGTCCTAAGCACAAATTAACTCAATACCCAGAATGGTCATGAAATTCTCCATCACGACAAATTAATCAACCTTACCGGGAATCGAAACTACCGTCTACTGGCATGGTATAGCACGCTTTTACTGAATATCAGGAGACTCAAATTCGACTGTAGGATTAATAATTCAAACTGCTTTATTTTTCTTTACAGATTCCGCAATGAAGATGTATTTATTCCTCGCAATTCTGATATACAAATGCAGTAATCATTTATCTTGTGCTGAATATGAATTGGCGGAAACGAGTCAAGCAGAGAATGATCCTTCCGTCTCTCTGGATTATAACCCTGGGAATGAAGGCGATTACAGCAACAACAATGGAGTAGTCTTTGAGTTCCGCCGTAGTATTAAAAGTGATAATACGGAAATAGAAGCAAGAAGACGCAGTGCTTTGGATAAGAATTTTATGCGATTCGGGCGTACCGATCCTACCACCTTACAACGTGTAGCACGTGCTAGTAAACAGGCTAATTTGATGCGATTTGGTCGTGCCGGTCAGGGATTCATGCGATTTGGAAGAATTCCTACTGATGTGCCATATTCACTCGTGCATTACGAAGATTTGAATGATCACTTAGACAACGAGAATGCCGGTGACTCGAGTGAAGAATCCACGTATTCTAAACGAACACCTAACTCGGATGAAATTACAGAAGTCAGTGATTCTGGAGAACAAATCAAACCAAAGCAGTTTGTATATTACAGGCGTGATTCACCGAAAAACTTGATGAGATTTGGTAAACGAGCCGATGCTAACAAGTTTCTTCGATTAGACCGAGCCAATCTCATGCGATTTGGTCGAGCTGGAGCGAATCTTCAACGAGGGAATCTGCTTCGTTTTGGCCGTGCTAGTGGGAACCTTATGCGTTTTGGCCGATCGAAAGGTAATTTGATGAGATTTGGCCGATCGGATCCACGTTTTTTGCGGCTCATGAAGATGGATAACAATTTTATGCGATTCGGACGGTCGGACAAGACACTGAAAGCATCCAGTAGAAACGGAACAGGCACGGAGTCTTTACTAACCACAAACGTTGAAATTAATCCATCGGATAAAAACAACGCCCCTTCCAAATCTGATGAAGACTACGAAATACATTTACGAGAAGAGGACATCCTTGCTCCTTTTTACGTTTCTAACAATTAGTTCTTTGCACACTGATAGACAAAATTTAAGCGAACTGATACCGTTTTCTATAGCCAGATTGTTAGTGATATTTAAAACGTTCAATGTATGCTCTATTTCATTGAAGTTGAACCGTTATGATAAGGCTGGGATTAACAATCTGGCTATAGCGAATGATGGTGAAATCTTCCTTTAAGCTTCAAGGATACCAAATAAACTAGTCAACAAACCAGATGAAGTGATTCTTACTATTTAGCTATATTTATAAATTTACAGATTGATTGTAGTCGTTATTATCATTATCATCTCAGTCATACTGATTTACTGTAATATAAAATAAAATTAAAAAATACGCATTAAAATCACGTGGATGAATTATGCCATCACTTTTCCGAAATCCATTGTAATGAAATTGAATCTATTGATGATTTTGTTTGTTTTTATTTAATATGCAGGGCTGACAAGGGCTTTCGGTAAAATTTCGATTATTTTTTATTTTAACACAGGTGTAAATAATGTATGCGGCAGAAATCTCAAAGCAATATAGCAATAGCTATTGCATATATATCATATATAATAGCAATAGCATATATATATCATATAGGGTAGAGCACTACTTCGGCCTAATCGCCCATTTTGGGCCTATCGAGCAGAAAACTTCAAATAAATCCATGATTTCAGAGCTAACAAGTCAATTATGCGTTTGGTACGATATTTTAGTTAATAAGCTACCAAACGAAGTCAATGTGAACGTATGATATGAAGGTTTGCACCCATTATTCCCAAAAACAAAAGAAACGCTCCGATCCAATTAATTTTTTATCTTCATCCGATAGGCCGAGTTTAGAATCCGTAGGCCGAGTTTGGCGTCAAGAAGCAGTGTTAGACTTTTGACAAAATCTCAACGATTGGTTTCTCTTTTTTTTTAAATCTTAAGGTACGTACGGAAAGGTAAATAAATTTGGAAGCCATCAGTAATAATAACATTCCGTTTGGTGCTAAACTGCGTTAGATTAAGAAAGATTAAGTGCAGGTTGTGCTTAATAGGCCGGAAATGGGGTAGTTAACCCTACCGTTAGGAAAGAATCATAATAAGTTATTTAAAGAAAACATATTAATTATAAACGATAAACAAGTTGCATATTTATGATGCGATTCGTTTGTATGAGAAATCCTCGTAGTTTTGAATTACTCCCTATTGTCTATATATAATTCATCTATATATGCTCAGTTTTCTTTGGTTCTGCTTTGTTTCCAGCGTTGGAACCCAGGCTAGACCTCCGTACCTCAGTATCGACGACGACACACTGGCCAGAAGACGCCTCTTGCTACTGCTAGGATTAGTGGTGTTCGGCATGTTTCGAAGCCTTCTCACAGGTATATTCGACGTGGATTTTGAAGTTTAGCCGGTCATCGATCATCACTCCCAGGTATTTTCGCTTCGAGGCTATGGTGTGCTCCCCGACGGTGATTTCTGCCCGCTGTGTTGCTTTACAGTTACTGACCAATAACACTTCCGTTTTGTGGTGGGCTATCTGCAGCTTCGCTCCTTGCATCCAGTTACCAATCATGTCGATCGCCTCGGTTGCCAACACTTCCACCTCTTCCAGCGTCTCGCCTGTTACCATCAATACGACATCGTCCGCAAAGCCAACGATCTCAACTCCTGTGGGCAGCTTCAGCGTTAGCACGCCGTTGTACATCCCGTTCCAGAGCGTTGGACCAAGGATGGAGCCTTGTGGAACTCCCACTGTGATCATAATCGATCTCTGTCCCATGTCTGTATCGTAGACCAGAACCCCATTCTAAAAATAACTTCTCAGGATCCTGCACATGTAATCAGGGACCCTCATTCTATGCAGCGCTTCGGCGTAACAACTACATATGAAGATTCCGTTAATTTTGGCGATCACGAAACCTTCATACGAGCTCGCAACCACTTCTTGAATAGGGTATCTGCCCATAACTTGTATAGCCGCCATCCCAGCTCTATCCGCCACCCAGTTACCGTTATCGGGAGGGACTCGATACGGTTTGGCAATAACTGCAGCCTCTTGCAATGTGGCCTTTCTCCCCACATTTCCTGCACCGATCAGATCTGTCAGGGCTATTGTAGTTCCTCGCCTGGTGATCGAAACCCATGCACTTGAAGCATCGCTCAAGTTGCTTGGTAATCCGAGGAGTGGCTTCCAGCGAGCACACCGACCACCCAACCTTGACCTTGCCCTTCTCCAACAGCTTGTTCGCTGCAACTGTCGAAAGCCGTATCACCGCCGTTTGCATGCCGCCGTACATCTTCCTCATCCGGATTGCCATCGGGACATCTCCCAGATTGCAGTGTACTCTTAACGTACTTCTCAGCTCCTCTTCTGTAGTGATATCGTCCAGATCCCTACACTCGACCACTGTCTCCTGGGATAGGGCTTGGCCAAGAGATTTTTCGACGAGCTCCTTGAAGGCTGAGCTCTTGATCGAAGGATCCTTCTTCAGCTCAAAGAGCATCTCACCTTTCTGGGTGCGTATGGTTTTCACCACGTTCTCTCCCAATTCCTTCAACTCCGGATCCTCTCCGTTGCATACGTCGTTTTGTCTTTTGCTTCGACGATCAGAGCTGTCTTGTCCTAAGCTCAAACAGTCAAATTACAATAGCACTGCATGGTGAGTGAATTCTGGTCCATCTTAATAACTTCACTCAAGACAGAAACCTGCTTTCTGGTCGTGCTGCTATGTTAAAACATGGAATTTGATGCAAATTGCACTCTGAGCTTGACCATTCAATAGGTCTTATGTATTTGAAGCACTTGTTTCTAGCCGATATGGCATGTTACACTGAAAACAAATCTTACTCAGAGAGTGAGTCACTTTTACTCAATCGTATGGAGAAATTTCTAAAAACTTGGGTAACCCATGCTCTGAGTAACCTTGACACATAGATTTTTTCGACGAGATTTTTACGCTTTTAGAAATTTCTCCATACTAATGAGTGACAATAAAAGTGACTCACAACTGATTAAAAGTTACTCACTCTGAGTTAGTTTCGTTTTCAGTGTACAACGCAACGAACACTCCTTTTCAGAACTCGGCAGTGAAACGATGACTGCAGTCAAATTTTCTACGTTTCACTTATTTATGCATTTAGATTAGTATTCTAAGCACCACCTTTTTCTTCTGTATTTTACTGATGTTTTGAAATTGAGTGGTAACGGCGCGTCTCTTTTCTCTCTCGATAGTCATAGTGAGCAATCACGTGATTGTTTGATTACAGCTAAAAATATTGATCAATTTTTAATAGTAAACCTTTGATAAACAGCTGTTATATTATGTTAACAAACAAATCCTACGTTCAATCTGAGTAAAATTGTGTAATTAAATTTGAGCTTTATTCATAAATGACCATGTTATAAGCGTTCATAACCTGACACTAGTTCGTCACACTTTTTTTTTTATTTGCACCCCAGTATAGTCCAAAAAATATGCTAATCAGGACAGCATTGGATTGGAGAGATTAGTAAAGGACAAAAGAAATCTACGAATAATCACTTCTCAATTACATAATCATGAAACTAAATTTATCATCAATTAGGTATTTATTTATTATTTCGAACACAAATACAGGCAGCGATGATGAAATGAATCCTTTTTAATTGAATTTATTTAGTGATATTATAACAGTGTCAGTAAATTACTACTGCCACTAGAGTCATAAACTGGTACACCCACCCTACTCATAACTCAAAATCAGAAACCCAAACCATAAAAAAAATCAGTAAACATGTTTTAGTATTTCAGGAAATTCTAGTTTCTTATCACTTTTTTTATTTATATTCACACAATCTTTGACAGTAGAGCCACCCACACAGATTGATTATCGTGATTTAATTCTATTCTTAAAAGCTACTCTATTAATATCAAAGTCAATAACATCACACATATAATTTAATAACCTGCAACATTTGCAGATTACAAGATTGTAGTGATACTGTCCAAAATTGTATTTTAACTGGTGTTCAATCAAAATACATCATCAATGAGCAAACTGCATTTTCCAAACTCTACAGATGTGAAAAGCTACATATTCTATGAAAAAGTAAATAAATTCAATGCCACTGAGAAAGCTGCATCCCAGAAACAAAGCAGCAGCACCTCCAAACGACACTAGAAGAAATAAAAGCAGATAATAAGAGAAATACTTATATTAATATTAGCAAATATTTGAAAATGTTTAATGATCAGTTTATCTAACATGTTGCTGATATCCATACATTATTATTTTTTTTAGGTTTTGATATTCATACGAGTTATAACCTACCTATTAAGTCACTCAGACTAAACAGAACGCTCCTTTTAATGCGTCTTTTTGGGAAAAATAGCTCCATTGAAACTTGGCTGTTCAATTGTTGAAAGTGCTTTTTATTGAAAAGGAATAGTGAGATAATGTGTTAAGAAAGTATTAATGTCTGAAAAATAAATTACTTGAGATAGTTGTAAAAATGTTACCAACGCCACAAAGATTTACCCAGAGAGCCAATTCGCTTCTGATGTCAAGGCACCAGGTTGAACCTCTCATTATTGATCACGTTTTTAACAGTTGGTATACTCGAAACAAGCTATTGTTTCGATGCATTGCCTCTCTCTGTTTATGTTACAATTTTGTAGGTTTCGGAGACAGCAGGTGGCTTGCATAAGGTCTCCTATACTCGTGATAGGCTTACCTATTGTAACTCGGTTGGTGTCTTATGTCACCGTTGAAAACAAACATTTAATACAAACAGTAAATAAATAAAGAACACTCTTTGTTTTGACTTAGTAAATAGATGCAAAAGGCCTACCTGGGTCGATATTGCCAATTTCGTCAATAAACTCGATGCGAATGCTGGTGAGATGGAAGCAAATTACCAGATTTCATAAGAGAAAGCGCTTGTCATTAAGTTCAAGCCTGAGTCTATGCTGCATGTGTTTAGAAACAACTATGAAGAATCAATTGTCCATTATGCAGATTGAAATGCAGTGAAGGTACTGCTTCGCAGTTAAACGTGTCGTGGGAGCATTATTTATGACGAGATCAAGAACAAATGTTTTTTGTTCAGTGAAGAGGCACCAGATGCATTCACTCAAAATAATGTGTAATTCTGAGGAACGATGACATTTTTGGTTATTTGAGAAGTACCGACTAGTTCATAACGATTTGTTAACAAACAGAGATAAAATGATTTAAATAACAACAATTTTTATGGAGACTCTATTGTCCTGACAGGCACTGTATATACTATACTCCAAAGAAATTATGTTGTCGCTCCCTGCGCATGACTTTTTATCATTGATGGCAACGTTCTAATAACGAAAATAT